TTTTTTGGGTACAACTTGGTTCAAAGCTTTTAGACGGTCAATAAAATTTTGAAGAGCATTAAGGAAAATATTATTATATTTATAATTGATGGTCTTATTACAATTTTTATTTTGGTTTTACATGGTTACAATTTGTATTTCAACATTGATCCTTGAATTGGTATTGAGAAGCAACCAAGTAACGTGATATGTATTGATGTAGAAATATCAAAGATATTCAAAAATGGCTCTTTTTTTGTCTATTACTTTCGTGAATCAAATAGTAATTAGAAGATTTAAGGGAAATAATATCACATATATTTGGTCTGCTTTTTTGATAATTTATGGTTGTTATTTGCAAATGTGATGGATTGCAGATATATACACGTGTTAGTTATACCCAAATGAGTCAGCCTTTTAGTTATCATCCATATAATTTCAGTGGGACCTTTCCTATTGGTTCTTTGTTTTAATTTGAATATTGATGTCCATAAAAATAATACTAATAAATAATCCATATAACTCCATACAGGTGTTTTTGCAACTGTTATCATTTTTTATGAACATGCTTGATTGTTTGGGGAAGAATAAACGGACACCATGATTCCACTCGTGATGGCTCAACTTTTTGTAACGCACGAGACATTTCATGATGAAATCTCATGTACATGAGAACCATCTTCATTTGGGTAGCCCAATTCTGTCGAATCAATCTGCTCATAGGATTTAGCCCAACTCTAGCTGCTGTTGGATCGTTCTCGATACATGGGCCTGATGGTCAGGCCCATACCCGTGTGAGTTTCTACCTAGGGCCTTCTCGTCCATGAAAGACAGTGGTCAGAAAACAAAAGGACAACACTGGTTATTCCTAGGCTGTAAACGAGCCGAGCTGAGTTCGAGCTCAACGTGCTGGAACCCGCACAGCATTCGAAGATCAAACCGAAAATGATCAATAGTAATTTATAATATGGACTACTTGAAAGATTCACATATATGTATATAGTATTAATAATAACGTTTCATTTAATTGGACATCAACACTGCAGCAGCTAGCGATTGCTTTCTCATCAACCAAATGGCCCAGGTTGTATAGTAAAGAAAATTATACATAAAAATTAATAAAACAGTTTAATACGTAAGTAGGTTAAATTGGTGTGGAAAATCAAACAAAAAAAGAAGGCCCTAATATTGGCCACAAGTCTCCTCTGTGTGGCCTTTGTGATTGCTCCACAACGTGCCCGCTTGAGCTGTGACGGCTCGCACGTTGACTGCATTCGTTGCGCTGAGTAGCGAAGCTCGTTGATAGGTCTCGGGAAGAGATCCCGATTCCACAAAGTAGGCATAATTGTCAAACTCGTTATGTTTCGATATGAAATTAACTGGACTTGTATCTTGCCTATGGGTCACCTGCATCAAAAACTCAAAAAAACTCATTAACATGAACAAAAATTTGAACTTTGTAAGAACACATGATATATCTATATAATCATTATGGAAAACATCATTAATTTCCTCGATCACCTCCTTCAACCACGAACTGTCGGGAGCAACGAATATGTTGCCTTCGGCAAGGATTGTGGACCCGTCGCTGCCTCCAACTGCGTACATATTCCACCCACAGGGCCAGTAATTGTTTAGAACATGAGCGAAACCGAACCTGATTCTGGATGATTGTACATATACAACACGCAAAACAAACAATTATATTTCAGTAGTCCGAACACGCGAAAATATATTAAGTTTTTCACATCGACAGTTGATAAGTTAACTTTTTTTTTTACCCCAAAAAATGTCAAAGCATTGTGTACTGAATATGTGACAGTTATGCCGTTTATTTGCATATTTTGGAGTGAATAAAGTTAAATTGTCAGCTGCAGGTATTAAAATATTGATAAATAGTTAAAGTGAGTTTGTAGTGGGGTGAAAAAGATGATCTCCCATCTCTTTATGTACATATTGTTCACGAAAAAATTACAGATTTAGTCCACTAATTTATAGTGTTTCTCATTTTTACCCACTAATTTATTAGGGTCCCAAATTGGTTCAATAACTCATAACAATATATAACTGTTGGATTCCTATATTCGGAATCGAAATTGGACCAAATTGACTAATATTGAAGAGTACTTACTGAACCAATTTCGGACCTCAATACGTTATTGGGGAATGGGAAACACCCTAACTCAGTCGACCAAAACTGTAATTTTCCTATTGTTTACCGCAGTACATTGGGTGATGTTATATAGCCGAACCAATTATTGAATCAATTTCGGACCAAATAGCTGCCAAATTCCTGCGTTCGGGATCGAAATTGGACCAAATTGTTTGAAATTGAAGAGTTATTGAACCAATTTCGAACCCCAATACATTATATTGGGGAACAATAAAAAAACACCTGAATCACTGCACCAAAACTGCAATTTTCCCTATCTTTTACCTCGGTGTACGTTGTGTGATGTTATCCCCGAACCAATTGTACGCGACGGTGATTTTCATGTTAACATCGTCGGCGTAATTGTCGTGTGCCCCGAGAAGAATGGCCTCATTGTGGTCGTGGAAGAAGCTATTGGATATGGTGACGTTTGTCGAGCCTTGTATCACGTCCACCAAACCATCCGTGCAATGGTACAATTCACAATGGTCGATCCACACATTTTTCGCGGTGAAAAGCCCAATGCCGTCGCCATCTGATTGAGTCCTATACCCAGAGTGGGTCGGGCTATCGCGCACGAACGCATTACCCGCCGAGGCCATGTTATAAATCTCGAGGCCCGTAATTATTACGTTGTTCGCAAACTGCACCGTGAGACCCGAGTTTCCGGTGAGACTCACCTTCCGGTCCCTGGCGTCGATTGTAGTGTAGGAGCTTATCATAAGCTCTTGTTCGAGCACGATCTCCATGTCGTGTTCGAACAAGATCCACAGTTTGTCCGGCTGGATGACAGCGTGGCGGAGGGTCCCAGTCTTGGGGTTCGTGGCCGAGTCGCTATTGTCGGTCACCCAATAATACTTGCCACCAAAACCGCCGAGGGCGTTTTTGCCAAACCCTTGGGCACAAAAGGCGTAGTTTTGCCGGTTTTCGAGAGATTGCCAATTTTCTCCCGACGAAAGCCAACAATCGTCCATCGTGTTGCCCGTTTCGGATGTAAGGTAGCCGAGATCCCTTCTCGGTGACGACCCGTTGTTCGAACCACTTAGTAAAGTTCAATGAAAATTAAAAAAATATTAAAAAAAAAATGAAAGAGACAACGAATAATTGTGCCACGCATGCTAACAATATACATTTTAGTTAGATATATAAAAAAATAAAAAATAAACTTACATGATTTCGTGTTGGATTAGTTCCGGTAGAGGTCGGACGGAAGCACCAGGCGTAAAGAGGAGGAGGAGGACGAGGAGGAAAGAGCGGCTCATTTTTTTATTTTTTTATTTTTTTTGTGAGGTTTTAATTTTTTGGGGAGGACTAACTATGAAATTAATTAATGTCCAAGGTTGGAGGTAAAGGGGATGAAAGACCATATACGGGGCATTTTATAGCACACAAAACGGCGTGATTTAACTAACTCAGCAGGTGGGGCCTACCAAGCCGAGATTGCTGGGTTCGCGGAGGGTCGCCAAGCAATTGATCATTTGTTGTCCAATTAATTTATGCTCAGTTCATGTAATGATGTAATAGGTGACGTACTCTAAGCAGATGGCGGTTTTTCCACCAAGTTTTTTTTTTTTTTTCTTTTATTATTATTATTATTATTTATATGCATTTATTTATCTTTCGATCACGGGTAGGTACTAGGTACTGACACAATGATTTAGTTATTTTGCACGTACTGACCAAATGTTTAGAATCACTGATTTGCAATACAAGTTTCTACGAATTTATAATCAACATCATATGTATAGAAGGACACACAGTCATTAATTTTTAATCAGCCTGTATGTTTAGAATCATTAATTTTGATTTTGAACATCTAAATTGCCTGTAAATAAAATATGTATACTTAAAGAACAAAAATGTGGTTTCCTGTGTCTTGGAGACTTAAAATTAGACACTTCATGATTGAAGCATGGTTTATAAGCAGTGGAGAAATTGTCTGTACCTTTATATGATGAGCATCTTGAATTTTGACGGCCCGTGATTTAAGCTTGCATGTAAGCATGAATTTTTTTTATTTTTTTTATTTTTTTTATTATTATTTTTTTTTTTAATAAATAATTGTCATATGTATTTCGAGTAGTCTTAATTTTTAATTAGCAAAGTCCGATGAATGAACAGTTACCCATTCAACTCAAAATAAAAGTTAATCCCTTTTTCAAAGTTGAAAAAAAAAAAAAATCTTCCACCAATGAGGGAATAAAAAGGGAAGCAGAAAAGGAAAGACAATCAACCAAACTTTTGTTATGGTAAAAAAGACTGATCCTTACTCAAAATTTAAGTCTTTATTGTATCAATATTTTGCTATCGTTTGACCAAAAAAATAACAAATGTTTGTTATTTTAAATTCGATCTCAACATTTGTTTGTTTCGTAATTTAATGAAAACCGCCATTTAATTTTAGCAATAAAAGATATAAGGTTTCACTTTTGCAAACTGAAACACACACAATTTACAAAGCATTATTCGAATGCTTACATGTCCATCTCGTTATCTAAGGTTGAGAGAGCGAGAGTACATGTCACATTGTGACAAATGAGAGAAAAAAAAAAAATGAAATAGAGTTATGCGGCTGATATTTTATTCACGCACTTATGTCCTCATCTGCTACTTTAAATTTTAAGATGAGCATTAGGAAGAATTTAAAATTTATTGAAATCTGCTACTATAGGAATGAGCATTAGGAAGAATATATGGCGTGCCTCTACAACACACACACTTATTACCCCATGGCCCATGCATATAACCACTAGACAAATTATGATTATGTTGACTTTGAAGGCCTCCGTAATTTAAGCTTCATTCATTTTATCTTAATTCGAAAATTAGGGGTTAGATCAAGGTAATAATTTGTTTAGGCCTTGGTCTAAAGGTTGTTCCAAAATTTGCAAAGTTCAAGGATTTTTTTTTTCTTTTTTTTTTTTTTTTTTTTTTTTTT